GGCCAACAAGTCCAGTTTGACCTAGTATTTTACCCATAGCTGGAGCGATGAGAGATGGATTTATACCTTTACTAAGTTTCCTGAATGTAATAGATTCGACTGGAATTCGAACTCCGAGCCGCTATCTACTACTCAAACGTGCAGTCGAATCAATTCACTTACGTGCTAATACCCTTGGGCAAGGTATGAATCCTCTTCTCCTTCCAGCTATGGGTAAATAGCAGAACAGACCGGGTTTTATAGCCTTGGATGGCAACTGGTCTACCGCAGAAAGAAATGGCAACCTACTGCGGGAAAAAATATCTGCCTCGTCAGTCATGTATCGAAAGATACATGATCGCCTAAGCGTGTATCACGTGTGGCACATAACTGATAGAGGAGTAGTTGATAGCGGATTGTGGAATTGGAGAGCCGAGTTCGAATTTCAGTCGAGTCCATTACGTTCACTTTCGTGCTAATACCTTTCGAAAAGTTATGAATCCTCTTCTTCTCCTCCCAGCTATGGGTAAATAGCAGGACAAACCGGGTTCTATAGCACTGGATGGCAACTAGTCTACCGCAGAAAGAAATGGCTACCTATATGCCGAAAAAAATCTGCTTCGTCGGTCATGTATCGGCTAAGCGTGAATCATGCATGGCACATAACTGACTGACTGACTTTCCAGTCGAATCCAGTACATCCACTTATGTGCTAATAGCCTTGGGAAAGGTATGAATACTCTTCTTCTCCCCTCCAGCTATGGGTAAATAGCTGGACAGACTGGGTTCGAAAGCCTTGGATGGCAGCTGGTGTACCGGAAAAAGAAATGGAAACCTACTGAGAGAATAAAATCTGCCTGGTCAGTCATGTATCGAAAGATACATGATCGCCTAAGCGTGTATCACGCCTGGCACATAACTGACTGACTGACGTGCTAATACCCTTGGGAAACGTATGAATCATCTTTTTCTCTCTCCCAGCTAAATAGCAGAACAGACCGTGTTCTATAGCCCTGGATGGCAATTGGTCTACCACAAAAAGAAATGGCTATCTACTGAGGGAAGAAAATCTGCCTCGTCAGTCATGTATCGAAAAATACATGATCGCCTAAACGTCTATCCACGCCTCGCACATAACTGACTGACGATCACTGACATCAAGATTCATTTGTAAATCTGACCAAATGTTGGCACATTTTTAAGTTAGGTCGTTTTAAGAGAATCTTTATTCAGTACGTCTGGCTCCAATGTACCGTTTCGGTTACGTAAATTTTGGCTACCAATACAGTAAATAAGTCTTTTAGTTTCAGATATCGTCCTTCAACTGTGTTAAACTCATTCTTTTTTATCTTCTTCTTCCTGTGCCACAAGCCTGATTTCTTCATTAAGGAGATGAAGAATGCGATAACGGGTCTCTTGGTAATTTAAAAACATTTCCAGTAGATATGTGTATTTTTTTCTTCTGTAAAAAAAAAAAAACAGTGGTCCGCTTGTTAAGGAATTGAATGTAAATATTTAAGACTTCATTATAAGACACGCGTGGAATTTTAAAGTAATATTAGATACATCTGTATATATATATATATATATATATATATATATATATATATATATATATATATCGAAGACTTGAAATTCCGATGTTGAAATTTCTAAGTCAACCTACACTATGAGATCTAATTTTACGAGGACCCTCTTTTTAGTCCAAACGGCAAAATTTTAGTAACTTTAGCATCTAAGCTACTGTTGGAAATAGTATTAACAGCTTGAAACTGTTATCTGTGTCTATATATATATATATATATATATATATATATATATATAATATGCTATATTTTGGGTTTTGTAACAATAGGCGGTATTGGGTGAAACTACCCGTAGCCTGTTCTATGTTCAATTTCATTTCCCTCTATACTAACTTCGTTACAATTCATCCATACATCGAGATATATGAAGTGTTTAGCATGTACTAATTCCATATACTGATTTTTTTATACAATATTCACCAAGGCCCAAGAGCAACTCAAGGTAGAGGGTTATTGTGTGGTTTTGCATGAGAGCAAGAAAGGGCAGGAAGTGAAGTTCAAGTGGCTATACAGGAAAGATAAAGTTTTACACTAGATTAGAAGAGGTCAAGATTATAGCGATTAAGAAAATACGTTGGCGGGAGTCTGTTTCACAAAGCAGTAGTTCCTAGGAAGAAGTTGTCTGAGTGGAACTTCCTCCTTACTAATGGAATACAAAGGGAATGGGGATGATTCACCCTCGTGTACATGGCACGGTGGGTCCCAGTTGCTCTTCAGAACACATGTAATGGAAGCAGCGTTCGAGCAACGAGCAGCTCGCAACGTTTCGTCTGTGCGAAAGGGGCTATATAGTGGAAAATAATCCATCATCCGGAAGGCCGCGTAGACGCATTTGACGCATCGGGCAGCTCCTGTCTAGGAATGAAGGCCATTCTTCATTTTTGGTCTATTCTGGCTCTTTTAACGGTAGAATATAGCAAGGGGAATCAGATACTTACTGGAGCAGTATCGACCCTTTTTCCAGCAAGAGATCATATATATAAGTTCCGCTTGAGGTATGGTGTGATCATGAGTCCCAATAGACATTCAAAACAAGGAGCCTCCTTGAGAGAACATCAATCCATTATGACGGGTGAAGGTGCGGGGTCTGCTCGGTGATGGTACTATCCCTGATTTAATTCCAATTCCAGTATATTGGTTTTGTTTTAGATAGATTTATCTTGAGTTTCTATTCCTTGGAACAGTCGGTAGAGGATGTGGAATTTCTCTTCAAGATCGTTTTTATTCCAACTATAAATACCTCACTCCCTAGTAAGTGCGATTAAAATATTTATAATGAGTGGGAATAAAATCTTATATACTTTTAATATACCCAATAAGATTATACAGCAATGGTTATTTTGACAAAAATGGACAAACGTACCCGCAATAAAATATAGTGTCAAAAGGAAGTTTTTTTTTGTTTTGTTTTTTTGTTATTTTTTTTTTTTTTGTTTTTTTTTTAATGACATCGCTATTTTAACCATATTCGGTCTTTGGTAATGTTTATTGTAAAAAAAAAAAAACCAAAAAAACGATGATTATAATTTAAATAAAAGCTACACATAGGATAAAATGGGTTATATAGCGGAAACTAATTCATCACCCACAAGGCCGCGTAGACGCATTTGAAATCTATCAAGACAGCCAAGTGAGGATTAGGTACCTCCAGTCCATCTACGACAGCAATACTCCATTTTTTGGTCTGATTTGGTTCTTAACATTGTGAAAGACGTACTCTTCCGCAGGGGTTGAATGCTGTCTGCGTATTCTCAGCCCCGCTGGTGGAATATAGCAAAACGAATCATATATTTATCTGGTGTAGGGATTCGTCCCTGTGCTGGTGATATCACGGCTATGACTAGCTTAGACCAGCTCTGACAAACTTGGACAAGGTTTAAACAGCTAAGACCAGCTTAGACCAGCGGCCCGAATGAAAACACTCGAGTCCCCACGTTAAAAACTGACCTTGTGTCACAACCTGACTCAGTGGGGTCAAGTAAATATCCATATTCTTACTGCAGTAGTACCGACTATTTCCTCAGTATCTTTAGCAATGGATCGTATATATGAGTTCCACTTGAAGTCAGGGGAGAGCTTGAGACCCAATAGGCATTCAAGACAAAGAGCCTCCGTGTGAGAACGCCAATCCATCATGACGGGTGAAGATTCGGGGTCCGTTCTCGGGTGGTGCTATCCCTCATTTAATTCCAATTCCAGTACAGCTTTTTTTTTTTAACCAGCTTCAGTATTTGGCAATGTTTATTGTTTAAAAAAAAATGATGATTAGAATTGAAATAAAACCTAAACATATCATGAATGAATTAATACATTTTTTTTTTTGTTCATGAGAGCTGACGTCAAAAATATTAAACACAATTTATTTATAGGATTTTTATGTACAATAATTTTTAAATTTACAACATTCTAAAGACAAAAATACAATTAGAACTAATGCTATATTTATCATATATCAATTTATAAAGAAATAAATGTGAAAACAATTTTATCCATATAATTTATAAACGCTTACTGAATTATTAAAATATGCGAGTCAACTATAAAGAAATCGTTATAATTTACCATTTTATAAAGTTTTAATCAATTCACGTTTAGCCGATGTTTTGCCAACCATTCCAATAACTAATGCATAAAATAATGTATCTAAACGATCTAATAAATAAATAATGTTTATTATTTTTGTTTTCATTTCTCAAGAAATTTCTTTCGTATGTTTAAGTTTCATTCCAGTTCGCTTTTTAAAACCATAATGATTGCCGAAGAGTGAAAGCTACCTAAGAAGAAGAAAAAAGCGATGTCATGGGAAAAGCGATTCTATTGACGCTCCGTTTTTACGGCGTCCATGTTTGGCGACTCTTTTCCATCTCCAAATGCGACAGGACATATTTTCCGTACGAATACCAGCTACCTAGCTGATCAGTTAAGCATGACCAGAATGAACTGGACGTTAACTGATACTTTGAAATTTAACACGCGGTTTCAAACTTACCTGTGTTTCTGTGACATTCAGTAGAGTTGCCATTTCCGCTCTTTCGCTGGAGGACAAGTATTTCTTCTGTTCAAACTGTTTTTCCAGCTCAAATATTTGCCGCCCTGTGAATGTAGTGCGGGCCTTCTTTTTCTTAACCGGACAATCCTCCCCACTTCCGGTTTTGTTCACCTCACTAAGTGACTTCTTGCGCTTATCGTTCTTGCCATCAAGACCTGCGAAAAAGAGTAATTGAAATTTATATATATATTGATACTTATATATATATATATATCTATATTCACACACACACACATATATATATAAACGTCATAATTTTTAGTATAAAACGATGTTAAAAATAAAAATAGCGGAAAACATATCCAAAGGTTACCTGATGCTGATAAAGCAGAGTCCCAAAGAAGGATGTCCTTGATCCTAAAGCCAGTCACATTATTAACACTCATCGAATACAAATATGCGTTCTATTATATTTAACGGTGGAGTAATGGATAGCGGGTCGGATTGAGGAATCGGAGAGCCGAGTTCGAATTCCAGTCGCATCCATTACATTCACTTACGTGCTAATAGTCTTCGGAAAGGTATTAATACTATTTTCCTCCCCCATCTATGGGGTAAAAAGTAGAACAGTCCGGGTTCTATAGCCTTGGATGGCAACTGGTCTACCGCTGAAAGAAATGGCATCCTACTGCGGGAAAAAAATCTTCTTCGTCAGTCTTGTATCGAAAGATACATGATCGCCTAAAGGTGTATCACGCATGGCACATAACTGGCTGAATGGATAGCGACTAGGATTGAGGAATCGGAGAGCCGAGTTCGAATTCCAGTCGAATCCATGACATTCATTTACGTGCTAATACCCTTGGTAAAGGAATGAATCCTCTTCTCCTCGCCTCTCAGCTATGGGAAATAGTAGAACATTCCGGGTCCTATAGCCTTGGATGGCAACTGGTCTACCGCTGAAAGAAATGGCAAGCTACTGCGGGAAAAAATCTTCTTCGTCAGTCTTGTATCGAAAGATACATGATCGCCTTAGCGTGTATAGCGCATGGCACATAACTGACTGACAATATTTAAAATTTCATATATATATATATATATATATATGCGTGTGTGTGTTTAATTAATACAACTGAAAATATGCTTCTTGAAACTTAACCGTTTTATGTTATGTTGGAAACTTGTAAAGGAAGTAAATTGTCAAAAAGTCACACATCCACACCCACACACAGACACACATACACCGACCCACACATATGTGTGTGTGTGTCTGTCTGTCTGTCTGTTTAATTAATACAACTGTGGAAAATTTTAGTGAGATTCTCATGTTGCCGAATTCAAATTAAATGTTTTACGTCATGGCGGAACTAAATTGTCAGAAAATCAGGACGTACGACGATTTGATGTTTTTTTTTTCCTCACCATTTACTCCAGATTATAAGTTGTTGTTTACTTAGTACAAAAAAAATATATATCATTTACAATAATATTTAAATTTCCCTGAGAGTTTCTAATATTTATATGTCGGAAATTCACTAACATTAATGTCACCCTAAGTTAAAAAAAAAAAAAAAAAAAAAAAAAGCACATAATTCTTTAAGGATAAAATACTACGCCAACTGAACACGCAAAACTGAAAACATTAGAACTCCTCCGGCTAGACAGACACACATACAGAATTTTGAATACAAATTACCATCCGATGCCCGCTTAGACATATTAGAATTTTTACAAACTTGCATACATATAGAATTATGTACGATATTAACCCTTTGATCCCTGACCACCGCTTTACCGGTGGTAGAGAAAAATGACTGAATGCCCAGCCACCGGTTGAACAGTGGTAAAGGAAAATGACGTAATGCTCAGCCACCGGATGAACAGTGGTCAAGAAAAATGGTGTAATCGCCAGCTACCAGTTGAACGGTGGTAGAGAAAAATGATTTAATGCCCAGCCACCGGTTGAACAGTGGTAGAGAAAAATGACTTAATGCCCAGCCACCGGTTGAACAGTGGTAAAGAAAAAATGACGTAATGCTCAGCCACCGGATGAACAGTGGTAAAGAAAAATGGTGTAATCCCCAGCTACCAGTTGAACGGTGGTAGAGAAAAATGATTTAATGCCCAGCCACCGGTTGAACAGTGGTAGAGAAAAATAACTTAAAGCCGCCCACCGGATGAACGGTGGGTAAACACTTGTAACTATTTTTATATCTACCGTAAAACATTGCATACCAATTATTTGAGAATTTTGACTCAGGACCTCAGACAGAAGGATTAAAATTCTTCAGAAACGCAGAGGTCAAAGGGTTAAATATGTATCAGTAGGACGGAAGAGGTTACGAAATTTAATTCTCTGAAGGTCTAGAATTAATTCGAGCATCCCTCAGTGCCCAGAAAGATGAATTATTTTTGTCCCATGTTCAGGTGGAACTACGATTTGTAACCCTTTCACCCCTGACCATCGCTTTACCGGTGGAAAGAGAAAAATGACTTAATGCCCAGCCACCGGTTGAACGGTGGATAAACACTTGTAACTATTTTTATATCTACCGTGAAATTTTACACATCAGTTATTTGCAAATTTTGACACTGGAGCTCAGGCAGAAGGATTCAAATTGTTCAGAATCGCAGGGCTCATACGGTTAATGCACGTGATTCATAACTGACCAATGAGAATCGATCTGGAAAAAAAAAGATTAAAAATACCGAAGTTCTGCCCTTTTACTTGTTTTCTGATATGCCATATTTGTTGATTATTGTGATATGTTGTCACTGTGGTGTCAGTTATTGTTGGTTCCTGCTAAATTGGCGCGTCACTAACAGAGCCCCAGCATTGAACTCATTCCCATTAGACGACAGTAACAACTATATCACTGTCCCGAAGTGCGTTAGTGATGTATTTTTGGAACCGTTTATATTGCTGAATACAATTAAATAATGGGATAACAAAAAAAAAAAAAAAAAACTAAGTCTAAGGGGTTACACTTACACCCGGTCTTACAGGATTTATTTTAATGTTTGTAATCACGTTTCAAAATGTATCGTAATATTAGTCTTCATGGTTCGCGTTGACCTTTTCACAAAAGACTGACCAAACTGACAGACAAGCATCTGAAATTCCCCAATCATAATATTACTTTCTCCAAACTCGTTCATTCCACGTCCTTCCTGCTGCATATATATATATACATACATACTTACATACATACATATATATATATATATATATATATACACATACATATATATATATATATATGTATGTATGTATATATATATATATATATATATATATATATATATATATATATATATATTATATATATATTCCGAGTTTCAAGTTAACTCTAAATACTTACAGACTCCAGTTGCATTTCAACTTCTTTTTGCTATATTTTTTACAGTGTAATAATATATATATATATATATATATATATATATATATATATATATATATATATATATATATATATATATATATATATGATAAGATAAAAGAACAAATAGGAAACGTTTATCAATCTAATATGTTTCACTTTTTATAAATCTTCGGGAGTGTGTGAGGGAGGAAAATAAGGCAAAATCGCAACACAATTGCAGTCGTGTTTCGATGCGTATCAATGCGTCTCATCAGGCAATTGTAAATTACTGGCGAATGAACGATTTATGGATTGCATTAAATTAATGGATACCTAAATTTTACACACACTGATTAGTTATTGTTATTAAGATCTTATATGAAGAACCTTTATTTAACAGTTGCATTTTAATTTACCAAATAATTCTATACGTTTAAATTATTTACTTGTTTCTAAAAGAAGCTATTTATTTATCAGCTCTAGCAATATATATCCCTGTAAGATAAGATCGAATAGAATCCAATTCCAATGTTTTTAACATTTAATGTAAAAGAGGGCTCAATACAAACTGGAGCAATATCATTTATTTTAGTACATTACACCGAAAATATGTCAAAATTTTGACACAATTGCAATCGTGTTTCGATGCATATCAACGTATCTCACCAGGTGATTGTAAATTATTGGCGAATGAGCGATTTATTTAGAATTAAAAGCAAAACACAACCAGTTTGCATTTTTAGATGGTATTTTTCTTTTAAATCTAAATAAATATTTCACTCAGCACCAGTAATTTACAATCGCCTGATGAGATGCATTGATACGCATCGAAATACGACTGCAATTGTGTAACGATTTTTACATTTCCGTGTAATATCCTAATATATATATATATATATATATATATATATATATATATATATATATGCTTTCTGTTGAGGTTTCTTCTAGACTCGATGAATTACTTAATTATGATTATCTCAAATACTCCTAATAATTTCTATCACTTCTATATCCTTGCTTGAACAGGCTTTAAATGTTCTGGAATGGAGCGGCTTGGGGATTTTAGTTGTGACTTGTGGGGGCACAGTCCTATGGGTAAGGAGAAACTCGGATGAGTTCCACCACGGAATATATGATCGAGCGGCGCTATATCGAGTCTAATTCGCTACATCTTCGTTACCGAGGCACGTTTGTGCAGTTGATATGACGTTTGCCTGATACCGTAACTGTCCGGGTTTCAATTCTCACGTGCGCCCTGCTGATGAGTCACAAATATAGGACGAAATGCCTGCCCAGTGCATTCTGTTGAATTATATATATATATGAAAATTTCTCAGAGTTAAACTGTAGAAAAGACAACATTTATAAATGACGATAGGAAAACTGTAGTTATTACTGATGCCTTTCGTCCAATGGGGACTTTCTCAAAACGAAATGAATTTAATTAAAGAAAATAACAAAAAACAGAATGTTCTTAGCAACAGGAGGAATGTAGAGAACGTTATTTTCATTCTGTTTTTTTGTTATTATTAGCTACTTTCTTTTATTAAATTTATTTTCTATTATCATATATATATATATATATATATATATATATATATATATATATATATATATATATATATATATATATATATATATATCCTTCCTGCAACATCATGTTGAAACACCGGTTCCCTGAAGTTAAAGCAACGTCGAGTTTGATCAAAATGGGTGACCTATTGGGGATAACAGGTGTTGTAAGCTTGGATGTGCAGTTGGTGTAATGTATATTGGCTGGGAATTGTTGATCTGGGAGCCGAGTTTCAATTCCCGTATTCGTTATATTGACTTAAGTGCAAATACATTCGTGAAATCTATGAATCCACCTCTTCTCCCCCATCTATAGGATAATTAGTAAGACTTTTATCACTAAACCATTATCATCTAAAACAAAATTCTTACAATCTAAAATATATATGTATCAGTAAAATATTATCTATATCAATCTACAGAATCAAAGTGGGCTTACTGTTGTATGATCAGCGAAGTTAAGCAAGATCGATCTGGTCAGTACCTAGATGGGTGACCGCTGAGGAATA